TCAGCAAGTCATCAACATAGAAGTCGGTTCGAATAACATTGGAACCAATTGGAAGCGTTGATTGATTGAGATCACTTAGATGGCGTAAACATCGAGTTGCTAAAAATGGTGCAGAGGATGTTCCGTATGTCACAGTGTTCAATTGGTAAGTCTTCAATTCTTCGTTTGGACTTTCCCTCCACAGAATGAGTTGAAAGTCGCGATCTGCCTCGTCAATCAAAACTTGACGGTACATTTTAGTAATGTCAGCAGTTAATGCATATTTATGCATACGGAAACGGAGCAACGTTGTGTACAATTCTTCTTGTATCGTCGGACCCACCAGTAATATGTCGTTTAATGACAGTTGAGTTGATGTTCTCGAAAAAGCATCGAAGACTACACGAAGTTTTGTCGATGTACTTTGTGGTCTTAATACGCACTGATGTGGTATGAAGTAGTGGGGAGATACAGAGAAGTTGCGAGTTGATAAAGACATGTGACCTAGATTTACGTATTCTTTCATAAAGTCCATATATAAATCATGCAGAGCAGCATCTTTAGAAAGTCTACGCTCTAGTGACAAGAAACGACGCTTAGCTGTCTCAAATGATAGCCCAAGGTTGCTGGAATCAGACTTGAAAGGAAGAGAAACTTTGAATCGCCCCGATGGTAAGCGTTGCACTGACGACAAGAATTTATCCTCGCAAAGTTTGTGCTCAGGTATGAGCGTGGCGGTTTTTTCACTATTGGGAATTTCTTCAAGTTCCCAAAATTTTTGCAACAATGAGCTAACTACAGTGTCATCATCTTGTGAAACAGTTAAGGCATTAGCATGGGGCTCAACATTTCTATTGCTTTGATATTTTCCAGACACAGTCCAGCCAAGTAATGTTTTCTGCAGCGTGGGGAGATTCGGACTTTGTTTTATTTGTCCGACTGATAGAAGTTCGAAAAACGTTTCAGCACCAAGAAGAAGATCAATTCTTTGTGACTTGTAGAAATATGGATCAGCAAGCTCAATGTTTGCCGGAATCTTCCAACTGGCGGTAGATATATTATGATTTGGTTGGTAGGTGGATATTGTTCGCAATACCCAAAAATCGGCTGAGAATTCATGAGAATTGACTCGCGATCTCACAGTCGCATGTAACTTATGCTTAACTGTGGTATTTATCTTACCAATTCCAATTAAATTAAGGCATCCATCTTCCCTTCTTAACTGCAATAGTTGTGCAAGCTCCTCGGTCATGAAATTTGTTTGAGAACCGGAATCAAGTAAGGCTCTGGCTGTTCGGTACTCTCCAGACTTACTCTTTACAGTAACTAGTGCTGTCGCCAAAATTACCTGGTCGCAATTAGTAGCACTATGATTTACAAAAACGCGATCGGAATCAGAACTTGCAGTTGCGTGAGGGATAATTGGAGTGTATTTGTGCAGTAGTGTGTGATGTTGTCCCGCACACACTCTGCAACGTGATGATTTACATGCTGAAACAGAATGCCTTTTTTTAAACAGTTTATGCACGCTGGAATTGCCTTGACTGCGTCGAACCGTTGTGACACAGGCAATTCAGCAAATGATGTACACTTCGTTATCATATGGATATTAGACATACAATATACGCATTTGGGATCATTGGATTGATTCAGCTTGTTGCAGACAAAGGAGGATTTAAAGCTGCGTTTGTCCCGTTTAACACCGGGTTTTTGGTCACACTCTGGCACTGATTTTTTATGCTTTGTAGAAGAGGTCTCGTCCGCTGATAGATGTTGGAACCTTTTATTAAGAGCTGCTTCACAGTCACTCCATAATGGCAAAGTGTTGTAGTCCAGCTGTTCTTCCCATTTTGATTTTGTGACTGAATCCACCTTTTGCATGACTAAATGAATAAGAATTGCATTGGTGATATTCTTATCATCTCCTATTGAAAGAAGGGAATCATAGATGGCAGACACAGTGTCAATTGTAGTGCGCAAAGATGCAGCAGACGGTTTGTGAATTACTGGGAGATCGAAAAGCTTACTAATATTGTCGGAAAAAATGAGACAATTGTTGTCGTACACCTTCCTAAGACTGGCTAACGCTTTTGGGTAATTCCTCTCAGTGACTTGAAAGGCCTTCACAGTACCAAGAGCTTCATCTGACAAACATGACAGTAAATGGTTGAATTTTTCAATGTCCGTAAGAGTTTCATCACTATGAACAAGGCTTTCAAACAAACTAATGAAATTTTTATAATCACAGTATTTGCCGCTGAATTTTGGTAGTCGCATGCTTGGCAACTTCGATTGCGGTCGACCACAGTGGTGCGAGATTGCAGGGGCGCTAACAAAGCGATGCTTTTTCAACTTTTGTAAAAACAAGGATTTAGTTGAAACACAAATATCTTCTAAAACAGCCCTATAGTCATCAGTAGGATCCAGGTCAAATATTTTGCTCTGGTATTGCATCGCTTTGTCAATGTACGAGTCAAGTATTTCCAATCTACACTCTAGCTCACTAGGACTTTTTGCAACATTGCCTTCTAGTAAGTTTGCCTTTAACCTTAAAATGTCGGCAACTACTGCTTCTCGATTATGGATCAAGGTTTCTACCCCCTTTGGAGATTGCAAAGACTGTGATCGCTTTTTAGTAGGCATTTCAGAAAATAAATAATTACAAATAACAACAAAAGAGAAAAATATTTTGTACTAAATGAATCGACGTGCTTCACGTTTAGCTGTATTGTATATTTCGTTTATATTCGTTGTTAATAGAATGCAGTATAATGTAAATGATATATTTTTTATTTATTGTTAATATATAATTCAATATAATGTTAATAATGTATATTATATTTTTTGTTAATATAATGCAATGTACTTGTAATCAAAAAAGAGAGAATGCAGATGGCAGTGCTGTTAGGATTCTATAATGAAGGAAAATTGTTATGCTTGCGGTGATTTTGCCGCTGTAATTAAATTTTATTTAAGCACTGTCCCTCATCTACATTTCTATTACCTGACAATCCTTTGGTCTCCTATTACAGCAACAGTCCATTGATTGGAAAATTTGAAAAACAGCGATGTTGGTGAAACAGCAGTAGCGGTACCGTTTATTTAATAAGATGATAAACGTGGTCCGTAAAGCACCGTTGCGGCTTTTGGCAGCGATGTGGTGACACAGCAAATCGGTGAAATTATTTTACGGTACCAGTGCCGTTTATTTCCAGAAAATGATAAACGTGGTCCGTGAAGCACCGTTGCGGATTTTGGCAGCGATGTGGTTACACAGCAAACCGGTGAAATTATTTCACGGTACCAGTGCCGTTTATTTATGAAAAATGATAAACGTGGTCCGTAAAGCACCGTTGCGGATTTTTGCAGCGATGTGGTGATACAGCAAACCGGTGAAATTATTTTACGGTACCAGTGCCGTTTATTTAATAAGATGATAAACGTGGTCCGTAAAGCACCGTTGCGGATTTGGATAGCGGTATTGATGAATTTGCGATGCGGTGCCAGTACCGTTTATAATTAATAAAAAAAAGAAACGTGGACCGCGTGGCAATGATAATTGTTTTTTACAAATAAAAACACTCACGATAAAAAACAGATTTAAAAAAAACACTTTAAAAAAAACACTTTAAAATAGTCCCTGCTCGGGCGCCATGTTGAAACTTTAATAGTTTTTAAAGTTATTTTTTATAATTTCAAAATTAAAAACGGGATCTATGATTTCACTATTTATGTTTTATTCAAAATTAATTTGTTAAGTTCAATTGCCACTTGCGCACTTCACCGAACCGACCGTCTTAGTCTGCGAGTAAAATAAAAAGAAAGAAACCCAAAGGCAAAAGTGCATTGCACAACCGTATTAAAAGAAGTAAAGGCAAGCGTTGCCATATAGTTAATTTGAGATGAGCTTTTTATCGGTTGAAGTGCGCAAGTGGTGAATAGAGATTAGTATTTAACATTAATTCAAATGAAGTTAAAATAAATAAATTAAATAAAATAAATATGTTTGTAAATGTCTTAACAATATTAATATTTAATATTAATATTTAACCAAAATATATCTATTAAAATTGTATAAATGTGTTTTTATACCATTTCACCTTTGCAATTCGAAAGAATAAGATAATAATAGTGTAAATATATACAATATATCTCAACACAAAACATATTGTATACCTTTTTGTGTTTAATCAAAAATACAAATCAAAGAAATCTATCAAATATCCTTTCAGTTATCGATTTCGTGCACCTTTGGGACAAAAAGGACACAAGCGACAATCTAAAATATATGCAACTTATCCGAAAAGAAGAGAAAGTGATTAAGATTACGCACATTGCGTATTGTGTGGCAACATGTCATGGCATATATTCACAGGATTGTCTTTACCAATGATAAACATATCCTTGCGTATATACAACTTCTTAAAATTACTCTTATTTACATTCTTACAATATTTATACAAGCAACAACAATGATCATGCAAGTTTGCATTCTAGGGTTTAACTAGTTTTGTATAATCTCTTAAAAATTCAATAACTCAGATAATCGAACATATGTCCAGCTTCACTCAGTGTGGCACCTTGTTTGGTTTGAAATTGCAGAATATTTATACGTACTGTATATTTTGTTCCTGTATCCTTGAGGTATTTAGTATTACAATGGCATGTGTCTCGAATTATATTTGAAGTGGTCAGTTTATGGTTAATTTTTCATTATTCTTTATCTTTATGTAAACACATTTTTTTCATATATTGTTATTGTTACAATTGCATTGAAAGTATGTACTCTCAAATTTGTTAACATGTGGCACGAGTTTACAAAGATAGTTCGGAACAAGCCATGCAAGAACAAAATATGATATAAACTATTATATAAAGCAGAGTTAACATACTGGATTTGTTGATTATCTGGTAAAATATAAAACAAAATCTCTTGTTAAATAAGAAAGTGTAATATGTATGGTATAAACAATTACTGATTTTAACAGATAGTCTTCCAGTTAGGGAAAGTTAAGAATTCTTCTTTATATTTAGTTCTATTTATTTATTTAGTTTACTAAAACTTACTCTATCATAGTTACTTTTAGTTTCATTAGTAGAATCACACTCCGTTAGGAACTTAAGAGTTCTACAAGTTGTTTCCAACTGCGTCTAATTTCTGTTAGTTATCACAGTTTGTTACAGTATCCGTCTAATTAGCCAACATCCTACAATCAGTTTGCAGTCAGCCGCGGTCCATTGTCCTCATTTAAATACCATAATTTCTTTTAAATATTTTAAAAGAATCTTAACTGATAACCAAACACCAAGAAAAGTACTCATTTCTCATTAAGTGACATCAAAACTAGTGATAGTGTGTCTCAACAGCTGAATATCCTTGGCTAAAGCAATCATATATGTATCCTATACATTTCGAGTCACCTTGAAATTTCCGGCAACAAAGTTACAGATAAACTTGCCATTAAGGGGCTCCCCCTTTGCTTGTAAGCTCGAAACCATTCTATGACTTGGGAGGAGCTAATTTCTTTTAAGTTGCTAGGTGGGCATCTCATATCGGATGAAGAAATGAGAACTTTATAATATAGGTTGAGTACTACAATTTATAGAGAAACTTGGATCTAAACAAAAACTTTAAATTTACATAAAGTAGATACTTTTAGTCGCAAGAGAAAAAAAATAATCGTATTTTATTAATTATTTACAGAGCTTAAGTTTTATAATGATAATTACGATGATGATTTATCTTGATATTGAAAAAATTTCCGATATGGTTTGAGGATTTGGTTCACAAACACAACCTCCAGTTCGGTGTTGCTTCAATGCATTATAATGTTGTAGTTCGATTTATGTTCACTTCGAATTTAAAATTCTGGATCCTTATATTTTCTCATAGATACCGATATTTTTTAGAGCTCTGTTCTAAGCTGTTTTTGATGTAATATATACCCAGTGGATATTTTTTTTCTATAGGTTGGAGTTAAGCAAATTTATTTGATCGTAAATTGCGGTATATGATCATCCAACTCCCATTGTTTTTCGTACCTACTTTAGAATCTTTTCCATATTAGATTCTAAATGCGAAATCAAGCTTAACGTATGAAAGACTCATCTATCAATCATATAAGATTATTAGAACTAGAATTCAGTTTGTCGACAAATTCAAATATCTCAGATAATACGTAATCAGCTCAATTGCATAGTTAAGTTTCTCTGCTAAAAACATCTTTCCTATTTTGT